TTAAATCATAAACATGTGGTGCTATCATACGTACATTGCTCTTGCATTCGTTTCCCTTGCCATGTGGTAATTTGAATGTTACTGAGTATTTAGTACAATAGATATGACACACGAAATCCTAATACTAAGACTTCTATTTATACTAATTCGACCATAACGGTCTTGCTATAAGATTATGCCACGTTCAGAACATGCAGAACAATGCCTCTCTCTTGTTTCCACGTGTCTCCAAATGCTCCAGCACATAAATTTCAAACTTCGAATGTCCCGCTTTCATTTGAATTTCAAATGTTTTGGTACTTCTCCGTTTCGAACGCACTTCTCAGACACAGCCTTGTTGTCATTTCGAGACTTCTTTAGATATGTTCCCATAATTGCCACTCGAAGCTCCAAGCTTTGATATGCTTATTCGAAACACTGCTTCTGCTACTTCGAAACATGACGCTTTGTTTCATTTCGATCGAAACGTTCAACTTACTTGGCTTTTAATAATATTATCAAAATCTTCAGCCAACAATATCCCATTGCGTGTTTCCTTTCATTATCAACCATTCTTAGTACATCTACAAGAGGCGTCATGCACTTAAGAGTGTAGAGAACATCATTCCAAAATGATGTCGTAAGTATAGTTGTAGCTGCCCTTTGTCCTTTTAACATCTTTGGCACACTTGGAACTCGTCCATTCTTCACAATGCAACATCTCTCTAAGCTTGCCTTTTAGCTCTTACATCCTTTGTAGACAAAGGAAATGGGTAGCAAACCTTGTCACTCCTTGTCTAACCAATTCAACATTACCGGTAGTCTTTCTCATTAGATTCAAAGCAAAAGTATGATTATAAATGTAGCCCACAACCTTAACCCCTTTTTGTATAACCTTTTGAACCTTTGGAATTTTGCCTATGTCTTCTAATATAAGGTCTATACAATAGGCAGCATATGAAGTCCAAAACATGTGAGGCCTCTTCAAACACAATTCTTTACCTGCCACTACATACTTACTTCTATTGTCGGTAATCAATTGAACAACATTTTTTTTCACCCATTTCCTCAATAAAAGTGTCCAACAACTCGGTTAGCTTTTCCCCCGTCTTGGCATAGTTAGAAGCATCAATACTTTACACAAACATGGTCCCCATCGGACAATTGATCAAGAAATTAATCAATGTTCTACCTTTTTTATCTGTCCAACCATCCGACATAATTGAACATCCATATTTATTTCTTTGCACCTCTTGGTTTTTCAACAAACCTTTTGTATATTCCAACTCATTTCGAAGGATTGGAACCCTGAGTTCATGATAACTTGGCGGTTTTAAATGAGGACCATAACTTCCAATGGCTTCCAACATCAACTTAAAAGCTCTTGCATTTGCTACGTTAAAAGCAACTCCACACGTATAAAAAAAGCGACCAACATATTGGATGGTTTTTGCCCTTGCTTCTTTATCACACACATCATTGATGTTTGTGTCCTTACTCTTCTTATACACCAAATTCAACGGTCCCTTAGTCCTCTTGACAGCCATTGAAGAGGTCTCACTCTCAACAATCCTCTTTCCGGCTCGAATTCTACGTATTTCCTTAATATCAATGGTATCATCCGCATCTAATTGCATTGAAATCTCTTGTATTCCTTTCTTAATTCTCTCTTTCTCAACCATGTCAGCACGTAATATAGCCTTAACATCCTCGGGTGTTTTCGTGCAAGAAATTACATCACCGGTAATTGCTAATTGATACCTTTTGGATCTACTTATTCCCCCACTGCTGGTTAAATTACAAAAATCACATGTCACATTCTTCTTGTTATTCAAATCCTTCAAATGATTGTATTTTCATCCTATGTCCTTACTATTGGTTGGTTTGAACGTTGGAGCACATGAAGCAACCAACGCAGAATTCAGTGTCGACGAAGAAGCTGCCATATTTTTCTAGAACAGAAATAAAAGTAGAAATAGAAATAGAGATGAGAAAACATAGAGTGAAACAGAGAGTTGAAACAGAGATGAGAAAACAGAGAATGAAACAGTACGAAAGAAGTATATTTGCCTGAGGCTGGCTGAGAGTGAAACAGAGAAGTGGAACGGAGAAGTGAAATGGAGAAGTAGAAGAAGGCTTGTTGGATGCTACCTGCTGGAACGACGGAGAAGTGGAACGGAGAAGTAGAAGAAGGCTTGCTGGCTGCTGCTGGAACGACGGAGAAGTTGAACGGAAGTAGATGAAGGCTTGCTGGAACGTCGGAGAAGTGAAACGAAAGTAGAAGAAGACTTGCTGGAACGACGGAGAAGTTGAACGGAAGTAGAAGAAGGCTTGCTGGAACGGTGGAGAAGCAGAAGATGGAAAAATAGGGCATAAGGAGGAAATAGGGCACGAAGAAGAATATGAGAAATAGAAATTTGTTTTAAAAACTATTTTAAAACAGGGGTAAAAAAGTAATTTTGTCCAAATTTTTTTATAAAAAAAATAGCAGGTCAGATCCGCGCCGCCCAGGAGGCGCCCGCTATCCGCGACACGGTCTAGCGGCGATAGCGCCCGCGATCCTCTCTCCGCCATCGCACCCATGTGTGCGCGCGGTAGGACCCCACTCCGGTCTGGAACGCCGTGATAGCAGCCGCTATGGACGCTATTAACAACTCTGGATAGTCGAAATTACATAGATAGTGAAACAAAAATTTAATATTATATATTATTATAAACTGGTAGATGAGGACGTCACAACATTTTGATAACATCTTCTTCCGATCTTTGAAACTTCACATTAAGGGTGACAATTAAATTCAATAAGACAAAATCCATCTGATCCATCCACCAAAAAACTCGCGCAATTCATCCACCACATAAAAGTTAAGTTAACGGATTAGATAAAATCCATCCATTTATATACATGGATTGATCCAATTCATCCAACATATTTGAATGATCTAATAGATTATTTTTATCGTATACTTTAAATCTATTAAATATTTTTTTTTAAAAATAATAAAAAAAATATTTTTTAAAAATAAGAAATTTAGTTTTTTCTAAAATAAAAAAAATTGATTTTTTCAAAATACAAAAAAAAAAAAAATTCGGAAATACAGTAAATCGATTTCTTTTCCGGAAATACAATAATTTGAGTTTTTTTGTAAAAATACAGAAAATCGAGTTCTTTTTCTGGAAATATAGTAAATCAAGTTTTTTTGTGGAAATACAGAAAATCGAGTTTCTTTTTGCATAAATACAATAAATTGAGTTTTGGTCGAAAATACAGAAAATTGAGTTTTTACAGAAATACAGTAAATTGTTTTTTTATGGAAATACAGTAAATAGAATTTTTTGCAAAAATACAGTAAATCCAGTTTTTTTGCAAAAATATAGTAAATTGATTTTTTTGCAGATACAATAAATTGATTTTTTACGAAAATACAGTAAATCGAGTTTAATGTGAATTGTTAGTGCTAGTGAACTGATTGTATAGGTTAAGTTTATGTTGATGTGCCGGTCTGTTTTGTGCATATATGCAGGGCTGCAACAATTGAAGTCCAATGGAAATATGACATGGTTTATGGTTTAAAATGATTGACTTTTGGTGGTGAAGATGGAAGCAAAGGCATGGTTGCAAAGAGTTTGAAGAGGATAGACATGAAACATGAAGTTTAAAGAAAGGTTGAAAGCTTTACAAGAAGATTATGGTTAGTCTTTATGCATTAGGATAGACTTCGATGTAAAATTTCCATGGAAAGGCAGTGGTGTAATGATGATAATTTTGTAATGGAAAAACCTTGTAAGTTCTTGAATTCACATAAATGAATGTATTAATCTTTTCCACTTAATATTTTGAAATCAATATTGTACAAAGTCTTTTCCATGTTGCACCTTGAATGAACCATGCCTCTTTTCTTTATTTCAACCAATTGAATGAATCACCATGTTTAAGTATGTTCAAGTGATCAGTCTTTGATCCTTTCCTTAAGTCTTGGCAAATTAAAATAGACGTCTTCAAGTAATTGAGTGTAGTGCCTTGCATCTTTATCTCTTTGAGTGAATTTTCATACTTAAACATCTTGACATGGATGACTTCTTGCTTCCTTAATGATCCTTAATCCATAAACCCTAATTTGTGAATAGAATCCAAGTGAATCTCCTTGTGTGAAAACCATAGCCATGTGCCTTGTAATTCAAGCAATTATGAGAGCTCATTTTGATTGACAATAAGAAAGTTCAAGTGAAACCCTAATCATGAGGTGCACCATGCGATGATCTTGGTCAAATCCTTAAGCCAAATAATAAGTGCAAGCATCTTAATCCATGAACCACAAAAGAATCTTCATCTTCAAGTTCAAGCTTTTGAAAGAAGTTCATAGGATAACTTGTACCACAAGTAACAATGAAAGCAATTTTTCATAAGATAGACAAGCTCAAGTATTGAGTAGAGGAACCCATGATAGTTGTATGGTCAAATCCCAATTCATTTGACAAACCCAAGCATAGAGAAATAAACCCTAATTCACTACCAAGAAGAAGCTTGATTGAAACAAACTTGTTTGATGTAGCCACCTCAAACCACCACAGATACACTGATCCAATGAACCTTCAACCTTCAAGTATCTTATTTTATAAATGAATGCATGATATACAATGCAGATGAAATGAGAAGCTTAAACTAATAAAAATATAATTAGGAGGACAAATTTTAGAGTACAACAACATACTATATTAACGAGTGTCACATGAACATTCTTTAATGATTTTAAATAAAAATATTTTATTAAAAATCAATTATATAAATATTTCTAAAAAACATATTTTTTTTATTAATTAATTATTTATAATAGAAATGAATTTTTTTTTCTTCCGGAAGGAGTAGTATTATTTAATCGGTATATACAAAGCTTACTAATTTGGCGATACAGTAGAAACAAAATTGAGAAGGATTAACTTCTACCTTAGTTTATTTTAAACTTGTACCTTTTATTTAGTCAATAAAGAAAAACACTGCACTTTTCCATTCACTCGTTGTGATGACTCAATTGGCACTTACCAACTCGGTCTCTCTTCATCACAACTTCATTCCCAATTACCGCTCCTTCTCTTGTCAATCTCAATTTCCCCCCCTTCACGCTTCTCCCAAACCATTCCTCCGGTTCACTCGCCAACCGCTTCACCCCCGGTTCATCGTATCCTCCGCCCATCAACCTGAACCGGACCGGCTTCCTCCACTCAATGCCCAAAAGGTAACTACTTGCTCACCATTCAATTTGTTAATCAATGATTGATAATACTTATTATTTTGCTCTTGAAATCTCAACAACAGGGTAGTCAGCTTAAGAACAGAGTTGTTTTTGGACTTGGTATTGGAATTTCTGCCGGCGCTATTATTTTCGCCGGAGGATGGGTTTTTGCAGCAGCCATGGCAGCAGCTGTCTTTGCTGGTTCACGTGAGTATTTTGAATTGATTCGAAGTCAAGGAATTACCGAAGGAATGACACCTCCTCCGCTATACGTCTCACGAGTCTGCTCTGTCATTTGTGCCTTAATGCCACTATATGTCATGTAAGATTAGTTTGACTACCTTACTTTTTCTACGACTGCTTTCCTCTTATTTATAAGGTTTCTTTGCTTTTATCCGTATCTTGAGAAAGCTTGTGTAGAGAGCATCTTAAAGACTCAGACAATTTTTTACAACCCTTTCTTCATGCATGGAAGACTGATTGATGTTGCTTGCTGATTTATTAGTATCTATTTATGATTCATGACAGGTATCGTGGTCACATTGATGTTTCTGTGACTTCTTCTGCTTTTGTTTTGGCCATGGCATTACTTGTGCAAAGAGGAAATGCCCGTTTTGCACAGCTAAGCAGTGCCATCTTTGGGTTATTTTATTGTGGATATCTTCCAAGTTTTTGGGTTAAGCTTCGATGTGGTTTAGCAGCTCCGGCCTTGAACACAAGTAATTATTTCTCTATCGTCACTAAAAAAATTTACAATCTCACCGGCTCTACATTTCATTATTCGTTTATATCTTTGTAGAAATAGTAGTTTCAAACACTGACCTTAGCTTCATAATATTTTTCATAAAATTGTAATTAATCAGTATGCTACTGTGTTTTCTAACTTCATTGGTGTTTAGAAATGAGAGCATTTGCAATATGGATATTTGCTAACTTCTACATATCTTATTGAGCATCTTTTTAAACTCTGTTTTACCTTTTACTATGTGGCTTGAGTTACAAATTATATGTCCTTAATAGATTATTACTTTGTAGGTTTAGGAACAAAATGGCCTTTGCTTCTTGGAGGTCAAGCTCATTGGACAGTAGGTCTTGTGGCAACTTTGATTTCCATTAGCAGCATTATTGCAGCTGATACATTTGCATTCATTGGTGGCAAGGTGTACAAGCTAATTAGTTTGCAAGAATACTATTTATATTTTGCCCTTCACAAAAGTATTGTTTTGTGGCTGTAAAGTCGGTCTTAACTGGTTCTTATGAATTTTTCATGATATTACTTATTATTTTTCTTTGATTTAATTCAGATAGCTTGTTTTTTGTTTTTCTTAAAAAACACATGCTTAATTAACCTAGTCTTCAACTGTGAAATTGTATCTTCTTGCAGGCATTTGGTAGAACGCCACTTACTAGAATAAGTCCAAAGAAGACATGGGAGGGTACTATTGTAGGATTTTGTGGTTGTATAGCAACTTCCCTTGTCCTTTCAAAAGTATTCAGCTGGCCAGCAACACCATTAAGGTACACTTACTGGTCCTTGAAGTTAACGTTGTTCTGTTTAAGATGAACATTCATGCATTTTCAGTGTAATTTTATATATATCCTATGAACTGTTAACACTTGTATTAACTTGTGATTTTTCTTCAACTTTGTCAGCGCAATAGCACTTAGCATTCTGACTTTCCTTGGGTCAGTTTTTGGCGATCTCACAGAATCAATGATTAAACGAGATGCTGGGGTGAAAGACTCTGGCTCCTTAATACCTGGACATGGTAATTAATCTTTACTACTTAATATTTCTGTTAGAGATGCATTGTTTATTTTTCTTGACATAAGAAAATTTGCAAGTGAATTAAAAGAAATATATGAAGATCCTTCTATTTTGTTCATCTCTAGATTGTTAGCATTTGGTCAATCAGTAATTACAGGTCATTATCTTTTCTCGTTAAAGATGGACTGCAGATGTTCAATTTTCACCTCATTTTGTGCTCCATCAAAAAATATTTGAAGATTAAACACATTTTATTGATTTCATCTAATGCAGGTGGAGTACTCGACAGAGCGGATAGTTATGTTTTCACGGGTGCGCTTGCATACTCCTTTGTCAAAACCTTTCTTCCACTCTATGGATTATAACATGTAACAGAGGTGTGTTTCTTCCGGTGCGGTTATATGATCATTGATCTAGCAAAATAGTTAGATTGCATCTCAATGGTATTACACTGACAATGTTATATGTTTTTAATGACAGCAAATTGAGTGTAAATATTTATGGAAACACGCGGATATTTTACCTGGGATCAGAAGACAACAATCACATGCATAAAATGTGAAGAATCTTGCTGAGTGAACCAGATATATTCTTGTGATGATCATCACTTTATTCATCATAAAAGGAACAACAGGAAAAGTAAATTAGGTTTAGGTATGAATTTCAAAGTTCAACGAACCGATAGTAAAATCAAACTCTCTAAAATCGGACATAATCTAACATGATTTCATTCATTTTACTTGATTTTGAAGAAATTAATTCTTTTTTTCTCTCAATAGTTATAACTTTTTTTCGGTGGTATAAATAGGATATCTATGCGCGTAATTGCAGAGACTAATGTTAAGATTAGCTATTTGTAGTCTAAGATTAGCTCTTAATTACATTAGCTATTTTTAGTGTGTTAGTTATTTTTGATTGGTTGTTATGTGATAGCTCATGCTATATATGGATAAGCCTAGCACACGTGTAAATCAATAAGAAGTCGTTATCCTTTTCTTGCACATTTCTTCTCCTTTCTTTCTTTTCTGTTTTTCTTCATCTTTCTCTTTTGGTTCTTTAATGGTGAAATAGCTTCACCTTAATATGGTATCATTCGCCAATTCGATCCTCCTTCCGATGTCCTTCTATTGAAGCTCTCTTTTCACCGGTTTTCTTTCCCCTGTATCCATGGCTCCTCGAACCTCATCTTCCTCTTCATCTCTTGATCCAGCTTTGGATCAAACTTCACCTTACTTCGTTCATCCAAGTGATGGCCCCGGTTCTGTTACTGTTCTTCCGAAGCTCACTGGTTCCAATTATCATTCATGGGCTCGCAGTATGAAGAGGGCACTCGGTGGTAAAATGAAGATTGGGTTCATTGACGGTTCTCTTCCTGCTCCCGTTGATTCTTTTGATCCATCTATGCGTGCGTGGAATCGCTGCAACATGATGGTCCATTCTTGGATTATGAACTCGGTTTCAGATTCAATTTCTCAGTCCATCGTCTTTATGGAAAATGCGATTGATGTATGGAAAGATTTAAAAGAAAGATTTTCTCAGGGTGATCTCATTCGCATCTCGGAGTTGCAGCAAGAAATCTACAACCTCAAGCAAGAATCCAAATCGGTAACTGATTTCTTTTCTAAACTTAAAATTCTTTGGGAAGAGCTAGATTTGTATTTGCCTTTACCTACTTGCACCTGTCGCATTAAATGTTGTTGTGAGGCTATGCGTAGTGCAAGATCTAATCACCAATTGATGCAAGTTATCAGGTTCTTGACTGGTTTGAATGAACAATTTGCTGTAGTCAAGTCTCAAATCTTGTTAATGGGTCCTTTGCCAAACATGAACAAGATATTCTCTATGGTTATTCAACATGAGCGCCAATTTCAGCTCCCTGCTTCTTCTGTTTCCAATGATGAGTCCCAGTCCTTGATCAATGCTGCTGATTCTAAGAAATTTGGTGCAAGAAACAATTCTTTTAAACATGGAGCTCGTGTATGTACCTTTTGTGGCAAAACCAATCACACTGTTGATAACTGCTTCAAGAAGCATGGTGTACCACCCCATATGCAGAGGCAGTTTCAGAATTCAACTAATAATGTTACATCAGAAGGCAATGATGATGGATCCCTTTCTCATGGTGCTGACATCAAAAGTAACACTTCACCTATAACTCAAGCCCAATTCAATACCTTAATGGAGCTAATTCAGAAATCCAGCATTGGCCAATCCTCAGGACATGCTTCTTCCAATCAAGTTGTTGTTGGTCATTTATCAACAGGTAACGTATCACATTGCATGCATAGTAGTAGTCTTGGTTCTTGGATCATTGATTCAGGAGCTTCTGATCATATTTGTTGTTCTATAAAATGGTTTCATTCATATAAGAAAATTATTCCTATCAATGTTAGATTGCCAAATGGTCAGTGTCTTGTTGTAAATCATGTAGGTACCATTCATTTTTCCTCTGATTTTATTGTACATGATGTTCTTTTGGTCCCTGAATTTTCTCTAAACCTTTTATCAGTTTCCAAACTTTGTGAATCATCTAATTACACTGTCAGATTTCTCAATTCACAATGTATTATACAGGACAAAGTCACCTTGAAGATGACTGGTTCTGCTGAGCAAAAGGATGGCTTGTACTACTTAACACTAAGGGATAATGCTTCACATCCTACACATTCACCTGTTTTCACATCTGCCTTAGCAACCACAGTTACTTTACCTGAAAAGGCCCTATGGCATTTTAGATTAGGACACTTATCACACAATAGACTCTTGTACCTACATTCCAAATTTCCCTTTATCACAGTTAACCATCAAGATGTTTGTGATGTTTGTAATTATGCTAGACAAAGAAAATTGTCATATACTGTCAGTAATAATAGAGCTGCTCATCCTTATGATCTAATTCATTTTGATATTTGGGGACCTCTTGCTGTTCAATCTTTGCATGGTCATTCCTATTTTTTAACTGCTGTAGATGATTGTAGCAGATTCACCTGGATAACCCTAATGAAAACTAAGTCTGAAGTTAGACAGCATGTCATAAATTTTGTGAGTCTCATAGAAAATCAACATAAGATGTCTGTCAAATAATCAGAACTGATAATGGTGCTGAGTTTCATATTCCTGAATTTTATGCTTCCAAAGGGATTATCCATCAAACCAGTTGTGTTGAATCTCCACAACAAAATGGTAGAGTGGAGAAGAAACATCAACATTTGTTAAATGTTGGAAGAGCTCTTCTTTTCCAGTCAAAACTCCCCAAAAATTTCTGGTCATATGCTATCTTACATGCCACTTTTATTATCAATAAACTTCCTACTCCAGTTTTAAATGATTTTTCTCCTCATTTCATATTATATAATGAACATCCTGATATGCATTGTCTTAAAGTTTTTGGCTCTTTAGTCTTTGCATCTACATTAAATGTCCACAGAACCAAACTTGAGTCAAGAGCTAGAAAATGTGTTTTCCTTGGATACAAGAATGGAATGAAGGGTGTGATACTTTATGATATTAATAGTCATACCATTCTTGTCTCTAGAAATATCATACACCATGAACATATATTTCCTTATTCAAATGCCAATTCTATTAATTGGGATTATCATGTGCACAAGGAATCCACTGATTCATCTCAACATGATATCACCACACAAATGCCATCACAAAATATTGACCCTACCATACAAGTTCCATTTCAAAATATTGAGTCTGCTGATGAAAATCATGACCATCACTATACCATAACCAATGACACATTATATCATCCCACCATTGACCCTAATATTGTAGAAAATACTGATGAGAACCATGGTATTCAACCAGTCCCTAATGCATCAGACCCTGAAAATTGCAACATTCAGTCCAGAACTGTTAGAACCAAACAGACACCTCATTATCTCTCAGATTATGTGTGCAATTCATCTGATGCATCTGCAGCCATGTCATCATCAGGTACATCAAAAGTTATTTATCCTATTTCAAATTATGATTCATTGCATTTTCTGTCTGCATCTCATCGTGTTTTTGTTTCCAATATCACCCTCACTCATGAACCAAAGTCTTATAAAGAAGCATGTCTGTCTGAGCATTGGATCAAAGCTATGAAATCTGAATTAGATGCATTAGACAAGAATAGGACTTGGAATATAGTTGATTTGCCACCACATGTCAAACCAATTGGAAACAGATGGGTGTTCAAGGTAAAACATAGAGCAGATGGAACAATAGAGAGGTATAAAGCTAGACTTGTGGCCAAGGGCTACAATCAAATAGAAGGGCTTGATTTCTTTGACACATTCTCACCAGTAGCAAAGCTTACAACTGTCAGAATCCTTCTAGCAACTGCAGCTATCAATAATTGGTTCTTACATCAACTGGATGTCAACAACACTTTTCTACATGGAGACTTGAAAGAAGATGTATACATGACCATACCTGAAGGTGTTCCATGCCATAAACCTATTCAAGTGTGTAAACTTCAGAAAAGTTTATATGGCCTGAAGCAAGCGAGTCGCAAATGGTATGAAAAGTTGACTGCTCTCTTACTGCACCAAGGGTACACTCAATCTACTTCTGATTACTCTCTCTTTACCTTAAAATTTGATAAACATTTTACAGCTATCTTAGTGTATGTTGACGACATAATCTTAGCTGGCACTTCTATGGTTGAATTTGATCGCATCAAGCTCATCTTAGATAACACTTTCAGCATCAAGGACCTAGGAGTATTGAAGTATTTTCTTGGCCTCGAGGTTGCCCATTCAAAGGCAGGAATTTCTTTGTCGCAACGAAAATACTGTCTTGATCTTTTGCAGGAATCTGGTATGCTTGGATCTAAACCAGCTCCTACACCCCTTGATCCATCTGTTAAATTACATGCTGATAATGGAAAAGCCTTTGAAGATATTGGTGCTTACAGACGTTTGATAGGTCGCTTGCTGTACCTTAATACAACACGTCCAGATATTACATATGCCACTCAACAACTCAGTCAGTTTCTTCACAATCCAACAATGGCACATTACCATGCTGCTTGCAGAGTCATTCGCTACTTGAAGAATAGCCCTGGTAGAGGAATTATGTTTCGAAGGAATGCTGAATTACAACTCTTTGGCTTCTCAGATTCTGATTGGGCAGGGTGTATTGATTCAAGGAAGTCAATTTCAGGTTACTGTTTCTTTCTTGGAACCTCTCTTATATCATGGCGTGCAAAGAAACAAGATACCATTTCTAGATCTTCTTCAGAAGCAGAGTACCGGGCACTGTCGTTTGCTACATGTGAATTGCTTTGGTTGATAGCTCTCATGAAGGAATTGCACATCACTTGTACCAAACTTCCAGTTCTGTACTGTGACAGCCAAAGTGCAAT